AAATTCTTTCTACCACACAGATATGCCTTACTAGTAAACCACATTCAACCTAAGATCTTAATGCTTTCAACCAGATAGAATCTATTACAGTTTTTTCATATTTTACTTTTTATTTCCCTTCATACTTACTTATTATTCTCTCTGATAATAACTTAAACTATTTAATGTCACTGTTATCAGTATCCAGTGTACAATGTTTCAAAATTGGTGAAAAAGAAAGTATGTCACCAACCGATTGTTAAATTTCCTTATATCCATGTTTTAAATTATATATTTTTCTGCTTTGGCCATTTCCGATCTTCTAAATACTCATATGAATAATAATAATAACTAACATATATATAGTCTTAGAAGAGAATAACCATATCAGATAAATCCTGTCCACATTTTAGTTCAGAGATAATTTTCAGTGTTTCTACATTGAGATCCATTTCAACCGTTATCAAGAGAATGATGATAATAATAAGCAAACAGGATTTACACAGTGTAAACAGTTATCAAGATTTTATTATTTCATTACTGTTTAACATGAAATAATTAACAGATTCTTGTAATTGAACAGGATATACACTCTTAGAATAGATTAGAATGAACTCAAAAAGGTAGATAAAAATTTGAAGTGAACAACGAAATAAACAATTTATAACCAACAGAAGAGAAGATTCTTAGATTTTGACAAAGATAATAACTTCGTTTAGCATCAGTAGTAGTCTTCTAATCCAAATCTATCTCAGGCAGTCTTAACATCAATTTTACCAATGCCACTGAGCCAATAACCATTCTCTCCCATAAACCTTAGTGTGGTGACCAAAAGAGAAATATTCTGTCCTGAACGCAAGGAAGCAATCGACACGTTCTTCTCTATAGCTCAGCGAGCTTCTTGCAGTGATTTACAGACCTAATATGTCCCTACAGTAGCAAAAAGGCAGTTATAAGCAATAAAATCTGTGTTACTAGTAAAGAGTAGTAATATACCTAGAACGCAAAATTACCTCAACAATGCGGTTAGGCGGCTATACAGTCCACAAATTTCTTAAGCACAAAATTAACTAACTCTATTTTAGGTAAGTTTATTTCAAATATCACACATTAGTGGGATTGTTACTGTCACTACGAAATAAACACACCACAAACTTCCCGCTGACAATCCAAGGTTAAAATCCTCATGACATAAGCTTGAATTCATTCAAACAAAATCGCAATTTTGAAACAAGATGTTATCATTAACAATTCACAATCACTCATTAGTTAAGTGAAACATTAGGAATAGAAATCATCCACAAACAAAGACCAACAATAAGGATTAAATCAAAGGAAGATATATACACGTTTGAATAGTAATACACAGGTCCAAGAAAAAAGGGTGATAATTACTCAGTTAAGTAAAGATATTGAAATAAGCAAAAATATTGTAAACAGGTTACTCAGGGAGGATTTTCCAAACCATAGATCTTCTATACTTAGTTTTACTTTAATCTAAGACTTTGAATGGCTTTCAGTAATGGTGTTGTTGAGTCTTGACTTCTCCGTCCAAATCAAAAGATATGAATTTGTATACATATCTAAGTATATCGGTAGTATTTTTGCATACTACCAAATTAACACTAAGTATTACAATAGCTATACATGTTACACGCAAATGCAATGATTATCTTGTGTTCAATGCTTACTATTGGTATTATTGTTTAAAATTTACTCGTTAAAATTTATGCCACTTTATTTGAGTAAACACAGAAGGAGAAAAAAGCAGCTATGCGATAGTTGGCAGTTCGATTATGATCATGTTACTTGGTAAAATAGCCAATAAAGTGTATAATATTAATATTTATTTAACCTAGAATCATCATTCATTATTTTCAGGGTAGCTAACCATCCAAAGCTTATCATAGATAATCTCACAATTAATTAACAGCCATCTTATCTCCTAATTCAGTATAATTAGAACTGAAAGATGACAATGCAACTTAACAGCTAATGGCGTGATAAAATAACAGTTGCGTATCATTCATTTGTGTGCTAGTTGAGTATAGCTTGTGATGACCTAGTTAACTGCAGGGTCTTACTGATCAGACTAATAATTTCGAGACTACTGATTTGAATCCTGCTGGACGCAGAAATGCACTTCACAGGTTATATCAGTAGTACTGTATCAATGTGAGTCTGACTAATACACTCTCGTCATCAGTTACTAAGGAATCATAAAATATATATATATATGGCACTTAAACTGAGAGAAGTAAAATAGTACAGGAATATGTTAACATATAGTTTAGTCGATTTGCGTCCTTACAGGAATGTAGAGTTTCAAGTTTCGAAGTTGTTTTGTAGGATGGGGTTTCTAAAATCATGCCCAACCTTTGCTCTTTTTTCTTAGAGCTTACTTCCGGATAGCAGTGTATTATCCGAGAATCGAACTCACACTTCCCACTTGACTGAATACCATTCCGTCACTGAACTAGTGACGCAACAATAAAATAGATATTCTTAAGAAACCAGATATAGTTAGCAGTTCTGTGAGTATAAGTGGAAAATACTGGTCACAATTTACTTTCAAAGTTGTATCAGTGGAACAAAAATCAAATTTTAATACTTTATTAAGATTTACTAAGCTTGTTGCAGAAATTCAGTACATCCATTTTCTGTCAAGCTGTCAGCTGCTCTGATTACCGATCAGGTCTTCACGTTGGTAGTAACACTAATCACTTTTTCCCTACGTATTGTATGATGAAGACTAAGTTTGCTTGCTTTTCGTTAATTGAATTGTCCTCCAGACTGGATTGAAGTGATTTTAATTTAAATAAAAAGGTCTAAGAAAAAGTATTGTTTAGCTGTACACTTAAATAAGAAATATACAAAATATATACAGTAATAAAGGTGAAAGTGAAGTAGTATTTATCAAGCTTCATATCATTTGAGATTTTTCAGTGAATGCAAAGTAATGAACTGTTGGTATTAGATGGTTGGAGGCAATCGGCCACGGGAAGCCTTGCATGACCTAGGATTCGTGCTAGTCGGCACTCACCAGTCAGTAAGGCGCATCTGCAGCCTTGAAGGAAATCATGTCCATTGTGAGATTGCACTAGTTACTGACTAGTGTCCAATAAAAAATGCAATTGAATACAGTCCTACAGGAGGTCAGTTGCAAGCCCGAATACTTCAGTGGTGATACCTCTCTCCGACTGCAGCACTGGATGACCCGAGTTCGAATCTCTGAAGGGACATGAGTTCCTTCAATGTTGCAGATACATATGCCTTGCTGACTGGTGTGTGCAAACTAGTGCGAAACCTAGGTCAGTCAAGGCTTCCTACCGATTACCTCCAAGCATCTAATACCAACAATTCAAAGTGTACCGTGATAGCGAGCCACCTTGAATGGTGGCCACATCGCAAACTTGGCTGATAAAATTCAGTCTGCACCTAAGATAGAACTAGACACACACACACACACATTACACTAGTTACTAACTAGTGTCCAATCAAAAAGTAATAAACTGTTGATCTACTGTAGTGTTTGGTCTTTGTAGACGGAATAATAATCATAAATAACTTTCACGAGTTGATCACGGATTGATATCATTTAGAGAACCACTGAGAATCTGGGAGTACTGGACAGCTGTTTCATCCTAGTTTGAGAATCATCGGCAGTACGCACCCACCACCAGGGTTCGAACCCAGGACCTTCGGTTAGTAAGGCAAGCTCGTATACCATTCAGCCACTGCCGATGATTCCCGGACTGGGATGAAATAGCTGTCCAGTACTCCCTGGTTTACAATGGTTCTCTAACTGATATCAATCCGTGATCAACTCGTAAAAACAAAACTAGCCCCTACAAACCAAACTATAGAAAATAAACAACTTTCATTTGTGTGTTTTTTTTAAATTTCAATAAATATTCATGGAATTATTTTCGAAAGTGCTACACAGATATATAAAGTGCATAAAGTGGATTTTAGTAGGCTTTTGTACTCTGACGAATAGAAAACCTTGTTAATTGTATACTGGGCCTTTCTTTTGGCTGGACTCTTGTTTTTTTGTTAGAATTCTAGCTTAAAACAATAACTCAATGCAATCATTCACATTCTGAGTAACAAGCATTTTATGCTATTTTCAAAAATCATAAAAATGAAAATCTAGGTATAACATCATCGTTATCACAAAATATAATATGTTATTCCTTAATAATTTAAAACAAACAGAAGCTTGTTTTTCAACTCTGTTGCCCAGAAAAGATTTTTTATATACCATGTGGAGGCTGGTGATACTACTTATTTGCCCAGGTTGAAGTAGGTGGAGCTGGACTCGAACTCGTAACGCATCGTTCGAAAACGAATTGCCTAAGCCGATAAGCCAGACTTTTCACAAATGCACCTGTCACTTCGTCCTAGATTGGAAATCCTCAGTGGCGCGCCACCACGACCCCATCAGGGAGCGAATTCGGGACCTTCAGGTTATGATGCAAAGCTCAATGACCGTTCAACCACTTGATCCATAATAGAGTTGTGTAATTTATTTAGCAGCAATTATATCCGTCAGCCTAATCAACAGGTAACTATGTATGACTTCTGAAGGTGGTTTCAGATGTCTTTATCAGAGAAAAATAAAAGATTCCAATCAAAGACAAGTGAACAGCTGGAAAGCACTTCATACTTCAAAATATATGCAATAGAATGTGTAGACGAAAATACCTCTCCAGGTCACAAGTGTACACCACATCTAAGTGACCAACATCAGAAAACACTTAACTACTTAAAAGTAATAAATGATTCCGTCATTATTATTTCAGCATTATAGAAAATATCGAAAACAGTAGTCAAATGAACCGACCTCGATTGTAAATATTTGACAGTGTTATTCTTGAGCTTTGAATGTTGTCTATCTTATCTTGTTAAAGGGACTCTTAATAAATGTTACTGAAACTATATTAAAATACTCCGCACCACTCATAATACATTTTCCATATTTAAATATGTATAGCGTTTCATTTGTTTCGTGTTTTCAGATTTGGGATGATATAGATGATGTAATCATTAAGACAGTACTATCTGGTTATGCTATAATTAAACATAATTATAGAACATGCTTTCCAAATCATATACAAACTTCAGCTTGTTTTGAAATTCTTGGTTTCGATATAATGTTCAGTCATAGATTGAAGCCGTATGTACTAGAAGTAAGTCAAACTCAGATGGATGTATAAATTTAAGAGAAATTTAATTAAATATTTTGCAGGTGATTTAATTTTTTTTTATTAAAGTATATCTTAGTGGCATGACAATTCAAGAATGCATTTCACTTACCTTTTTTGCATTTTATCCTTCTGCGCTTCAAGTTGAACATAGGGCTTCAATCTTAAGCTTTGAAGTCGCATTAACAGAGGTGTTTTGTGTTCACTGGGTGGCATCGTTAGCCTAACGCCCATGTTCCCCTCTTTACTGGGCTTACTAAGGGCCACGAGTGGTTTAGGAGTGCAGTTGGCAATAGATCGAACTCTGGGCCACGTGCATTGTTGGTGAGCGTTCTATCACTGAACTAAAGAATGAAATGGGAGCCATTTTAAACTCCTGTTCAACCAGCTTTGAGGACAAACCATAATAATTTATGCTCGTCATCCTAGATTTATGACTAGGGAACTGTTTTCACAAAGTATTTCGTATATTTTTAAAACCTTGGTGATTTATTTACTTTTTTTAAATAATAAATATTTGATTTATACTGCAATAGAAAACTGTAACTTCTCAGAAAAGTTGTACAGTTAAATATTGTCCTAAAAAGTCATGAAAAAAAGTAAATAAACTTCAATTATTAATGCAAGTTGGTAGCAAAATATGTGAAATTTCGTAATAGGTGAAATGATATACACACAGAGATGTTGGTAACAGTTAAACATTGTTGATGTGCAGAAGATGTTGTCTAGAAGGATGATGAAAGCTCCTCAACTGAATCAGCCAACTCAGAGAACACAACTAATTCAATATCATCCACCTGAGCTACAAAACTTCTTTAGTTCAAAATTGTTTCCAACATTTCGAAGAACAAGAATTTATGTATTGAGAAGTTGAGATGTAGCAATGCAGCGAAGAATGTTTTTTTCTAATTATTCTTGATAATCTGCTGCAAACTTTAGAAGAAACTGTAAACTGAAATGTTTTTCAGAACAACCAAATAAACTTCTGTATAAAGTGGTTTCAGAATCATTAAACTACTTTGGTGACATTCAAATCATACAGGATATGAAAGTGATAATCATTTTAAATCTCCTTAGATAGTTTCTTTACTTTTAATACGATTAACAGTTACTTACTAGAATATTTAGTAATTCTTCTAGCAAACACTTCACTAGTCTTAAGTTTTCACCACTCCCTTCTCCTGGATAGTGGTAGATGCACACCGATCTTACAGGTATGAGATATGTAATTCACTGTATCTTATGAATCACACTGACTGATCTTTTTGTTGGGCTGAAATCTTTAAAGTTCCCCCACCACTTGAGAAAAGATTTTGAATCTGATTAAGTTAAAAATCAGCTGTTCGTTGGGAAGATATGAAAGAGATGAATAGACTGCTTTCGATGGGATTATAAATGGATGAGTTATCTAAATTAATTGATATGTAGATACACTAATGTAAGTATACATGCATAAATAAAAAGTAACTACAATAAGTAATCATATATCTTGTATCATCTTATTCTGGGATATCATGGTACTCTAAATGATTTTAGTTCAGCAAGAAACAGTCTTTTTATCAACTGACTTATTGTATCTGCATCTAAAATTTACAAATAAGCTGGAAAATACACTTCAAGACAACATTATATCGACTTTTATATGAATCATTTTTATCCTAGAGCTAATCTTGTTCAAGATAGTATGTCAGTAAATGTGGTTACAATATCAGATGGTTCTCAACTGTCTAGTTCATCTCCTAATTTTCTTAAACACACATAATGAATTCTGTGACTGGACACCAGGTGGTAACTACTGTCATGCGTCAAATCCTTTGTTTGTTGCAGACTGAATTCTACCAGTCAGGTTTTCATTGTAGCCACTATGCTAGGTGGCTCACCATCACGGTGCACTGTGAATTGTTGGTATTAGTTGATTGGAGGCAATCGGTAGGAGACCTTGCCTGACCTAGGTTTCCTAATAGTTGGCACTCACAAGTCTTCAAGGCGTATCTGCAAGCTCGAAGGAATTCATGTTCCTCTGATATTCGAACCCGCATCATCCAGTGCTGTAGTCAGAAGTATTACCACTGAGCTATTCGGGTTCGCGATTGACCTTCTTTAGAACTGTGATGGATACACTGAGTGGACACCAAGTATCAGCTGATAGCTTGGATATTCAGAGAATTTTGATTGCTTCACTTTTCTACTTCATTTTCTCTTTTTATACCTTTTAGGTGAATCATTCGCCAAGTTTTACAACAGACAGTAAATTAGACAAAGAAATTAAAGAGGCTATGCTATGGGATGCTGTACAACTTGCACATTTTACGGCAATTAGTAAGAAAAAATGTTGTGATGAAGAAAGAAAGCGTATTCGAAATCGTTTGTTACACAAAAGTGGAGATAAAGAACATAGGTTAGTCAAAATTTTATTTGCACAATTAATTGTGTTACTCTTTGTCAACAAATCTATTATTATTGTATTATGAGTCTCTTAGATTCCAAGTGGAATGTAGGAATTCAGCAGCACATCTCCATTTTACTCCATTCCTTGTGGTCTATTTTAAGACAGCTTCATTAGTGTTCACAAGATTTCATTCCCTTTTCACATTATCTCATTCATGTTACCCTCAGATATACCACTTTGTGTTTCTCCTTCAGATTCTACTTAGGAGCCTGACTTGTGATGTCATTTAAAGATTTCATCCTCATTTGTCCAGTCCATCTCCATCCCCTTCAGCAAATTTATTGGTTGGTACGCTGCCTGACAGAGTTCCTTGTTGCTCATACTTTAGGGCCATCTGAATAAACTACTGAGTTCTTTATATATTACGATATGAAAAATCTACAAAATAAAATTGTTCATAAGTGCCTCAAAAATGTATACGATAATTCACTTGATACGAAAAGTCGCGATCAAGAAAGCCAGTGAAACAGCATGATTTCATATACTACTAACTGATTGATAGCAGTAGTTGGAAGCTATTCACGTCAAAAACTAGAGCATGCTAACTTGACCGAAGTGATCTAAACAGCAGATTGTTGTTTCACTCATTCGCAGTCGGACTTATCAGACGTAAGAAATACTATTGCTTTGAGTAATTGCTATGACTGCACTGAACTAAATGAGAACCATAGTCACTTTGTTGTGTCTGCGCATGCCTAATATGCCCGTTGTACTTTCCGATTCACTGGGCCGCGCAAATATCAAAAGACAAGGCTTGCCTGTGATTGCATATTGTAATCACAACAACCATTAGGAAAACAACTAATGGTATTTATACATTTTTACAACAATAAAGATGGCTGACAGCGTTTGAAATAATTGATCGCATAATCAATCACAACATGCGTGAGAAATGATGACATCCTATTTTATGCGGGATCCTATCACCTCCCCCCGTAAAAAGTGTAGGACTTGCCTCTGGATCTATTTGGAAAGGTTTTGATTTCTCAACTAAAAATAATGCTTGCCTGAGATAATTTATTTGAGGCAGAAGTACTGGTCGCTGTTTGATAAGGCAGCAGATATCTGTCCAAGATATCTCTCACTGCTCCCTCCCACTTCACTTTCTTGAAAGCACACAAAGAGGCATTGACAAAGCGTTCACCTTGTCCATAGGACTGAGGTTGATGACGAATTGGATGTTTAGGAGAGAAAACTCGTCTGTCACTCAGCTTCAAAGTCGAAGATACTTGACTAGAATTGAGGCAACTAAACCTTTCCCAGAAGACTGGAGGATGCTATTGACGCGAGTGTTGCAACAGAGGTGTATTTGAAGCATGACTTGAGATATGATGATATACTACTTCATGTGAGATCCTATCACTAATATTCTAAGAAATAGAGTGAGATTAGAAAATTAAAAGTGAACCTTGTACTTATTACTAGTGTATAAGTCAAAATTAGTCACAGACCTAGAGAAGATTGCAAGTACAGGTTGGCATGAAAAATACACATTGATATGTTTATTTTCCATATTTTCACTTTCTAAGTTTGCAAACATTTCTTATTCTAAGGTCAAGCCAACCTTTTAATGCTAGACAAAACTCATCTCTTTTTATCTAAAAATAAAGCATGTCCAGCAACTGACATCCAAATTAATGCTGACATTGGTTGGGGTCACGTTAAATCACGAATTGGTAGGAGTTAGAAGTCACGAGCCACTGAATCGGCTCCCAGTGACTGAATGGTATACGAGCTTGCCCTGTAATCGGAAGGTCCTGGTTTCGAACCCCAGTGGAATGAAACAGCTGGCTGTCCAGAACTCCCTGCTTGTTTCCAGTGGTTCTCTAACTGATATCGATCCGTGATCAACTTGTAAAAATGCTAACTAAATTACAAAAGCAAAAATGATGCCGTTCAAGCTAATAACTCTTTTTGTCTTTACAGATATTCAATAGAAAAGGAGATTGAAAGATACCAAGCACTGAGTGAAAAATACGAAAATTCCCATATGGGTAATTTTCGTCTAATTTATCCATCATCTGATATGGAGAAGTATTCACCATTTCTTAATCCAACTGCAACATTTTATCAAGAGACAGTTACATATAAAGTGAGAAGTGAATGTGCAAGGTGAGACACAGTTTTTTTAACGGTGTTTAATTTAATAGTCATGGAATGGGAGTAATGGCAGGGGGTGGAAGCGTTCTATCTCCCGTGTTAAGTCAGGCGTACAGTGTCAGGTAAGGAGGGCAAGTTAGTCGATCAAGGTTGTGAGAGGGTGACTAGGACATGTGTCATGCATATCGAGAAACCGCTTTCCTCGAAGAGCTGTATAGCCTGACACAGTAGCAGGTTGGGAAAGAATTAGGAGTGATCAATCCGTGGAGCTACATAGGGAAGTGTAGACTTCCCGGTTCGAGTTCATGGGATTCTAAGAACCAATGGCTTGAAACTATTGACGATATGACTCAGAGCCATTCTCACTCTTTAAAACCTTCCAGATTCGCTAAGTTCTCATATTTTTCGTTAAAGAAAGAGAGAAAAACCAAATTTGCATATTTCGCCATGTTATTATTCCTGCTCCCCTACATTTCTACACAAAAGTTAGGTGTGGCCATAGGAAAAAATGAAACCAATCCAAGAAGCCAATGAGGTCAAAAGAAAGCAGATGGTGCAGTTTTGCGCCTTAGCATTCATACCTTTTATTATTATTCCCTTGTCTAAAGACTAATTTATTCAGCATATTCAACTGACTTCTACAAATCCAGCACCTGCCCTATAATCCATTAAAAGATTCACATGAGTTATGACAGCAGTTGTTAAACGATTTACTACCATATAATCATTAGAGACTAACTGGAAGTGTAGACAGATTATGCACATATTTCTAACTTCTATCAATATAAGTAGACAGTTATATTGATGAAATTTACTGTTGTAAATTTCAATATTCAGTTGCATAAAAGTATGTGATAACTGTTTATCACCTTGAGTGTTTAGTCCTTCCCTTCATCTAAGAAATACTCAATGAACTTTTGTTCTTTATTAGATTTTAATCTATTTAAGGGACGATCGACTTCACAACTGGTAATACACATATATATATATCACTATTATTATTATTATTCCTATGTCTGCAATCGTCTTTAGCTGGCCTCACGACTGTGAATAAGCTTTCCTCTCTTCTTCATACAATCACCTCCACGTCACCCTCGGACAACCAAATCGTAGTCTCCCATTAAAGTTCCATTTGAGGAACTGGCACGTGGTATTACTCAATGGTCTTCACTTCAACGTCTCTATTGAACTTTCTATTTTGAATCACCTGACATATATGTGTATAATTTCCCTTAAATTTTTAAGTTAGTTCTGAAGTGATTTCACCAGTCGACAGATGTGTGAAAGTAACTACGAGTGTGAGCATTACTGATGGCCATGGCAGTCACCTCTCTATCTCAACTTCATCGACTTTGAAAAGGTCTTTGACAGCGTCGATCGAGAGGTGCTTTGGAAACTACTTCGCTACTATGGGGTGCCACCAACAATTATACATCTCATCCAACAGTTGTACGACAATGCTGCATGCCAAGTAATCCACAACGGGAAACTTACGGAATCCTTCGAAGTGAGGACAGGAGTAAGACAAGCTGGCTGCCTACTATTGCCAATGATTTTCCTGATTGCAGTAGATTGGATAATGCGACAAACAGCGGGCAATGAGAAAACAGGCATAAAATGGACTCACACAAAAAACTTGGAGGATCTGGACTTCGCCGATGATATATGTCTGGTTTCCCACAAACTGGAAGACATGCAAGCGAAAAGCAACAAGTTGGCAGAAGAAGCATCAAAGGTAGGAAGGACTTCAGGTGAACATGGAGAAAACAGAGGTGGTGAAGATTCCTGGGAAACACCACCAACAGCAACAACAACAACAACAGACAACAATCAGCATAAATGGGAGGAACCTGAAAGAAACAACCTCCTTTACCTACCTTGGAAGCATCGTTTCAACTACAGGTGGAACTGACGAGGATATCAAAGCAAGAATCGGAAAAGCAAGACAAGCTTTCACTACTCTCAAGTCTGTGTGGAGGTGAACAGCACTCAGCATCAAAAATAACATCCGGATTTTCAACTCCCATGTGATGTCAGTGCTACCATACGGATCAGAGACTTATACTGCGCGTCATAAAGAGCATCTCAAACAAACTACAGACCTTCATTAACAGTTGTCTTCGCTCAATACTCAAGTTCAGATGGCTGGCCAGAAAAGATCAGCAACAGAGATCTCTGGAAGCGAACCAACCAGGAGCCGATTGTGAAACAAATAGGCAGGAAGAAATGGAGATGGATTGGCCATACTCTTAGGAAACCATCAAGTGACATCACTAGACAAACCATCGCTCGAGTGGAACCCGAAAGGGAAGTGGCGAGTTGGTCGTCAGTGCAACGGTGGGTGACTTGGAGGAGGTCATGTGAAGAGGAGATGAAAACGTTTGGGCAGACATGGAGCCAGGTGAAGACTCTAGTAGAGAACAGATGCACGGCTGAAGCCGTATGCTCCTCTAGGAATTAAAGGAAACAATAATAATAATAATAGCACCAATCACAAGTCCATCTCTACTCTTATTAAGTACTAATCTTTTTAATGACAAGTTGAGCGGTAATTCTACACAACCAGTTAAACTTTATTTCCTTTAGAGTGCTGAAAGTTTCCTGTCTTATTGTTACCTTTGTGTAACATGTTCATTACGAATTCGATGACTTTTAATTGAAAGACTTTTGCTTAAACATTAGATTAGATTTGTTTATTCGAGTTTGACCATGGATTGATATCAGTTAGAGAACCACTGAAAACCAGGGAATACTGTACTGGACAGCTGTTTCATATTCATTTCTTATCTAATATTGACCATTTTCCGATTATATTGGTCTTCTTCACACTCATCTACCTCTCCATCTTAAACTTTACTTCCCTGTAGACAACTCAGAGAGGAAATACGCATGAAACAAGAAAAACTAGATATAATTACAAATAAGCATAAAGCAAGTCAATCTGAAAGTCCAGCGCCTAAACGATTGAAAATTAAAACAAATACTTCACTGTCAAGGGGAATCAAATCAAGCCATAAACATGGTGAAATTAATGACTCTAATCAGCTGATCCATATTAATCAAGATCACTTTGTAACTAATAAAGGAGATATACAAAACCCCGAACTGTATAACCAACAAATGGATAAAGTAGAGGAACAAGAACAGAAATATCCTACCACTGAATGTATAAATATGCCAATAGGCAATGAAGATAATCAGATATTGCCTAATACCTTATTAGATAATAAAGATGTTTATTTCATTGATACTAAATTACCTCAGCCTATATTTGATCATGAAGAAATTGAACGGAAGAATGAATTAAAAAAACGTGAAATTCTAATGCATAAAATTGGTCTAATTTCAATGTTGAATGAAGTATTTACACAGTGTGCACAAATACATCCTGAAAATCTAAGCAATCAGATGAATAAAAAGTTTACAGCTTTCAATAATCATGAAGGTAGTCAGAAAAAAATTCACCAACCTCAACAAGATATAAGTATGTTTTCTTAAAAATTTATCTTCTTCTAAATAAGTTATAGTGTTGTGTAAAGTAATTCAGCGTTAGTCTCTAGAAGTAGACGTGAATAAAACTGTCTAGGAAGTAGCCACACATACATCTGCTAAACCTATAGTCATTTGACACTTATTCAGTATATAATTCCCATATTTGAATTATCCAGTCACTGAGCAGTAATCAGTATTCTGCAGGTGTTGATTATATCCAATCGATCAAAGTGAGAGTGTAATTTGTTGCGTGGTGATTTTCAGTGGAATATAGGTTGAGGATTCAGTCCTATTTAGGACTCATCACCTGGACGCACCTGCAACATCCAGAAAGTGATGGTGTTCTCACTGAAACTCGAATTACTCATCAAATTTGTTCATCTCAATCAATCATCAGACATCATTGAAGCATCCGTAATAGGAGCCAACAAGCCAGTAGAAGATGAACGCTTGGTTCCAATTGGTCAACAGGAAAGTGAGAATTGACTTCAGACAAATGATAACTGATACCCGTTGCAAAAGAAGTGGCTCTCGTGACCTAAGACGTCGAGTGGATGACGCTTTGGAGTTTTTGAAACGATGGCCATTGAGTTCGGGTCCCAGTGAAAAATCCACCAATTTTTTTTTTTGATTACAGCTTGATTCCACACCGTATTTTCAGTACAAGTATGGGATTTTCAGCATGGATATCGGTAGCCCAAATTTACAGGCCGACCATAGATATCGGGTGTGCGTCGCAGAGGATCGAACCCCGGACCATGTGCATGGTCGGCGAGAGTCCTAACCACTGTACCACCGACGCACTTAGAGGGGTTTATAGGCATACCCAGCTGACAAGTCCTAAATAAGACGGAATGCTCATCCTGGATTCCACTGCTAATGAACCAAATCACTTCATGTTAATCCTGAGATAGCAACAGAGGTCGAACATTTCGATGCAGTCAGTCGGCGGGAAAAATAAAACTGACTTAAAACATAACTAAGGGATTTTTCCTTATACTGGACTGTTTCAGTATCTATGAATATTGTTTCACAAGTCAGCAAAATATTTTATACTGACAACTGATAAGATAGCGGTGGTTCACAATGAATCGTCAATTATTAGCATCCATAAAAATCGCTGAAGTACTTAGTGAAACAGTGCCTGTAGTATTTTAAGCATTGTTTGCTTGTAAACACGTATTTAGATAAATGCATTTACTCGAGGTAGTCTTCTCCACGAACGCATATAAGTTAGAGAATCACTGAAAATCATGGAACACTGGACAGTTATTTCATCTTAGTGTGAGATTTCTTTGCGATGAGCAACCACGAACTCACCAGAGACAGAACAGAGATTTTCATAATATGAGATGAGTACGATAACCATTTAGCCACTAAGTTGTGTAGTGACTCAAACCGATGTATTGTAGTTTGAGCGCTGAAAACTACTCTTTGAATCCTGCTGTATAGCTAGCCAAAAAATTCCTGAGTTACTCACAGTCCCAAAATGTCCCATTGACAGCAAAAAGGTAGTTATTTACAATAAAATCTGCAGTGCTATTCAATAATGATGACGTATCAAGACCTCAACAATATCGTAAGGCAATCGTACAGATCGGAAAATTCTCACGTAGAAAATGAGTACTGTGCAACAAAATTAGTTAGCCAAAGTCAACCATAAGAAGTATCTTAGAATTAAGTAGAACATTCTCAACAATGTAGGATCAAAACGGTAACAGTAAAAACTAAACACACCAAAAATTTCCCGCTGACAGTCGATGGTCAAAATCCCCAAAGCATAACCTTGAATTCCTTCAAACAAGATCACAATCGTAATAATAAGACATTATCAACACTATCCTACAACAACCATAAAGCGAATCATTAAAATTAGGGATTAGATAAGAACAGGTGATATGCAAACGTTAGGACAATGATATCCGGCATAGGAGAAAAGAGGATTATAACTATAAAGTTACCTGAAATATCCAGATAAATATCGATATTGCAAGTAGGTCTTTCGGAAGGGATTTTCCAGACAATTATTTCACTACAGGTTAAGATCCAGTGAAGGGATGAAATCTATACTGAAATTATCTAACAATCTATATAAACCCCCAAATATAAAAGGTGTTTATGTCAAGTAAATTACCAGAGGTTTAAGTTTACGTGTCTATCAATATTCAAGTGTGAAATATTTCTACTGTCAAAATGAAATCTGATTAGCTGCTATTGGTGCTTATATTTGCTAGAAAAACACACTTCCATAAACAGGCGTCTTTGTTCATTTCAAGTATTCTCAGTAATGTTGTTGTTTTTGGTGATTGATTTACTATCCAATCAAATGTGAAAGAAACTATATTGATCCAGATTTGTGATTCACTCATTCTATATAAAGTGATATAATCTGATTTTCTAAGTCTTAATTTGTATTCTGCTTAACCAGACCATAAGTGAGCACCATTTTTTTCTCTTTCTCTAAAAGTACACTTCAGTATCATTCTAATTGGTCAATTTGTAGTGGATGCAGGTGAACTAATCAATATAATCTTGGGAATTTTGTAATCTCTGATTAATTCTCCTTGTATTGAAATCCTCCTCTAAAGTTTACTATAGAATAAAAATAAATATTTCTCCTGAATATTCATAGATATGATTGTTTTCAACTCTTTCCTATGAACTACTAATTTTTATTCAATCTCTGGTCACTCGTTCACATCAAAGACATCGTTATTTTTTAGTGTTTTTACTATTTTGTGGAGTATTTCAATATTTTCTTGAATTTAACACAACCAGTTTCAAAAATGTTACGTGTTTATCCTGTTATTCAGAAACGTTTTTGTTTTGGATTTCGGTAGTTTTAATGACAAGTAAATAACTAATCGAATGTATCATCGGAAACAGAGTTTTATTCACTCACATATATCTTGATTTCCAATAGTCTCTTGTTCAACTTCAGTCTTCTATTAATTCCTGTGATATAAATTACCTGAAGGTACAGACTGCAACCCAGTGTATTACGTAAGTGAAGTGATCGCATCCGACCAGCTTAGGCAGGTTTAGTTTTAAATTAATTCTAAATGAGCTCGTACATAACCACTTTAACTGCTGCTATACAGCCAGCCACAACGAGAGGACCACTAAATATATTAATCTTAAGGATTTAAAGCGCTGTGCTGCCTATCTAAACAGCGATTTCTTTTTCACTAGATTCGTTGAATACATTTTAAACCCTGAGTAACTCTTTGGCTTTCGAACGATAGACGCTAGGTTCGAGTTTCAGTGAGAATATCATCATTCAGTGCTGATGAGGGTACATTCGGATGAAGAGTCTCAAACAGGGTGAAATACATATGTTAGATCCTACTGCAAGCCAGTATTAATCAAATAACATCGTATTTTGAAAATTATCCGTGTATGACAGAGAAATTAATAAACAAGATCCAATGAATCGAAATGTTTACCGTTACACGATTGGATACACTTACCCGCAAAATATTTTCTATCTGTTTTTCATTGGACACTAGTCAGTAACTAGTGTAATGTGTGTCTGTCTAGTCCTATCTTTGGTGAAGACTGAATTCTAGCACTCAAGTTTACAATGTGGCAAGTATTCTAGGTGGCTTGACATCACGGTGCACTTTGAATTGTTGGTATTAGATGGTTGGACGCAATCGGTAGGAAACCTTGCCTAACCTAGATTTGGTGCTAGTTGGCACTCACTAGTCTTCAAGGCGTATCTGCAACATTGAAGGAACTCATGTCCCTTCTGAGATTCGAACTCGGGTCATCCAGTGCTGCAGTCGGAGAGAGGTGTTACCACTGAGCTATTTGGGCTGGCGATTGACCTCCTATAGGACTGTATTCAACTTAGTTTTTTATTGGACACTTGTCAGTAACTAGTGCAATCTCAGAATGGACATGATTTCCTTCGAGGTTGCAGATGCACCCTGATGATGGGAGCCGACTAGCACGAAATCTAGGTCAGGCAAAGCTTCCTGTGGCCGACTACCTCCAACCATCTAATAAAAACAATTCATATTTATGTATCTACAATATGTCATGTAAATTCTGAGTGCAACTAGCTGGCTAAGTAGAAAATGTTTCTTATAGGTAACTCGTTCCAGTTTTTTTTTACCTTATTCTGTGTAAGCTCGTACATACGGATGATAACTCCTATTGAAGTTAACAAAACTATTAGGCGTAGGTTGAAAGTTTCTTTTGACAAATTACGTTAAATATTAACAAAATTAAAAACTAAGCGTTGGCTTCACGATTTAAAAGTAATATCAGATATTCTATATTAGGGATCTTTTCTCCCAGGTTCTCCGTTGCTTACTGGAATTTTCTCAAGAATTCAATACTCTCATCGCTTTCGCCCTTCAGCCGATTTTGCATTGATATATATATATATTGATGAAACCAGCAGTGGTAGCTTATCCTTCACGTTCATACGAATCATAGGTTTCGTGGAGAAGGTTAATCGTAGTTCAGCCACAAAAGCCGCCCACGCTTAGCTTCCCGAAAAAGCTACTCTACATGAACCTTAGATTCAATGGAGATCCATCTACGGAAACACTGAAAAGTCGACTGTCGCGTTCACTTCATAAAACCTTCTTCGCAGCTGAACTACGACTAACCTTCTGCACGAAACCTGTGATTCGTATGAACGTGAAGGAAAAGCTACCACTGCTGGCCTCATCAATGTGTATCCACCAATTCACCTGCTCTTGTGGAGCCAGGTATGTCGGCTGTACCCAGCATTCGCTTTCCAAACGTATCACCAAACACTTACCAGCATGGTTTTACAAATGAGAAAAACTATGCCCCCACAGCTCTATCTTAGAACATTTGATAGATTCAGGACAACAAACTATACCTCAAACAAACTTCAAAATTGTCTACAGAATATATATATATAAAATCATTGTTTCTCTGAAAACATTACTCGATATGCTACTTTACTTACTTATTAGTTGCATGCACACTACACCATAACTATTACTTAACTCCTCTGTAGACATAGGTATATACGTATATATCGTTCAAGTTGACTGGGCGAATCGGTTTACTTTCTTAATTTATTTATTTATTTAATTATCTGTTTCCATTTTCTATCATACAGTTTACTTAAAACTTTTCTATTAGATGACAAAAAGGAGAGGGTTTTGAATGTTTTAAAGCCAACAGCAGCATGGAAAAACCGTACACAATTATTACGAAGGCAAGGATTCTGGATTAGAAATCAACAACACGAAAATTCTTCTCAGGTATACACTACTACTACTATTTTTATCTAGTCTTAGTGTATCCAATTTTATGAGAGAAAAAAAACACTTTTATGAAATGTCATAGTATACATTGACAACGATAAAAAAGTGATTATTTAGTGGTATGGTTTCCCAAGGTGTTCCCTGTTAGCAGTGCCAAAAACCAGACTATATTTTAATAACTGTAATAAAACTCAAAATGTAGTTACTAGTTTTCTCCTATAGGCTTTTATTCCTTGAGTTCATAACAAAACATAAAGTTTAAGTTTCAGAAGAGGTGGTGTTATATTTTTAGGAGTTGGGTTCGCTAGCCTCACGTCTAATCTCCCCTCTCTTCTGACCTTACTGTAGGCTAGTAAACTGAATAAGGTTTAGGAGCGCGTTGACCAGTAGTCGAAGTTGGACCTCGTGAGTGACTGATGATCATTCTGTCACTATATGCATATTTAATTTCCAATAGTCAAAACATGACTCGGACTAAAACGAGCAAGCACTACTGGTTGATGTGGGTGGTATTCAAATACTCATATCAACCAACCACTAGTATATATACATATATGTATTCTTTATAGTTGTCATGCCCTGTAGCTTTATTATGAGAATAGCATGAAATCACTTTCTGTGTGTTCTTGTGCTTTTGAGCTGGACAGTTTGACTGCGGAGGATTCTGACTCTACCTAATTAAAACCCACAAAAGTTTTGTTAATGTATAATTTATCGGAGGGAACTTAACGTCACCAACAACATTCACCATCATTTCATACACATTTTCATCATGCTTACATCTTATTTTTTGAAAATTGTTATTATTATCAATCTTTAGATAAAATTGGACACTTCACTCGACGTGTACCAAACTCCTACTTCAGGCGATAATTCAAAAATATTCGGTGCCCAGAATACCGAAAATAAACCATCTACCGGTCATAATACTGAAAACTTTTCTATACAACCAACGGATAGAAATCATTTCATGCATTCAGATCAGCCATTATTATGCGCTAATCCTGTCTTCGGTTCCCTACCATCTCATCAATCTCAAATACAAACAAAGCTTCAAAAACATCAACAATCTTATCGTATACAATCGGAAAATTTCTCCAACTCAGGTATACATTCAAATACCTCCTCACAAATACATCAAATCACTGGTCAAATGAGTCAAAATTTACTCCTAACCACTGATGGTAATAAATACACATTTCCAACCTCCACTCTCTTAACATCAAATCATAATTGCAATGATTCAATTAGCATAGGTGTAAAGACCTATCAACCGATTAGAAATGTATCGTCTAACAGAACAACTAATTCATCTAATACACCTTTAAAAATGAATATAACTAATGGTTTTCTACCATCAAGAGGTATACGATCTCAATCAGCAATGAAATCAAAATGTACCCTAACAGATTTAACAAACGATAATAACAATAATTATAATAATAACAATAATAGTAATATTTTCTATTCTCATAATACATCAAGACAGCATAGTCATAATTCATCTATCAAAAGTGTCGCATTTGACTTTCAAAGTAAGTAGCATCTTTAATAAGCTAAAGTCAAGCTGTTTTTATTCCTGTTAAAATAACATGACTGACTGAACCTTCAGCGTAGAATTCTGGATTAAAGAACAACGGTTTACGTTGCTACACTTCATAAAAGCACATATAAAAGTAGGCAAAAACAAATATAAGGAAACTATCATGAATCAAAGTGCCTGGAAGAAAATTTAATCATAGACAGAATAATAAGAATTTAATTAATCTACGAGGTCACTCAGAGTGAATCCATCTGTAACACGGAGAACAGTTTTCAGCCAATGGTTCTTAGCTTCTCAAAGACTCCAGTTAGGCAGTCTACACCATCCTTTGTGGCTCAGACCAACTGTCAGAGATTTCATGAACTGATGTTTCCTCCTAATACTTTTTCGATCAAATTCTGTATCAACTAACATCAGCCGACGAGAAAAAACTAATAAGCTGAAATATGAAGTGAGATAACACAAGTGATAAAATTTCTCCATAATGCATCATGTTTGTGAGGCAGACAAATGTATGATATCAACTATAATGAGACATTATATTCATCTTTGTAATCAATACTTATGATAATATTCACTAAGGGAAGTGTGAGTAGTTTTCCTTGCATTGAGAAAGTGGTTTTTTAAGGTTTCGGATAAACTTTTCTCATCAACACCGAAAAAGATGAAATCCTAATTTATACTTCTAAAAAATTACTTCCCAATTAGATATGGTAAGAGAATACAAATAAAATCAAGCAGTGAGTTTAACAATAGCAAACCTCAAGCAGATACAAAATGTATCACTTTAATACAACACTCGGTAGTGCATTATAACTCAATAGAATTAGTCACCTAATATTAACTAGTGTAAGTCTTTTTTGGGGGCGTCGGTGGCACAGAGGTAGAGTACCCGCCAACCACGCATGTGGTTCGGGGTTCGATCCTCGGCCGATACACTCCTTTATCTCACTAATCTAGTAATAAGAATGGTAAAGAGGGAAGGTTGGACATGCGGCTAGCAACCCCATCCTGTACAAATAAACGTCAATGCTACAGAAACTTCAAGCCTCTAGCTTGAAGCCCTATGTTCCACTGGGAAAAAGTAATAAATCAGAAGTCTTTGTTGTCAACATATGTCTATCCTATATACCAATTGCTTTCCAATATTTGATTGTAGAAAAAGAAGTATTATTCATTCCTTGAGTTCTAAGTGGAACGAAAGGCTCCAGGCTTTAAAATTTCATTAGTAGTAGTATTGCTGTGACAGGGTAAGGTTAATAGCCTCATACCCAACCTTTCTTATTTTCCAGCCTTAATACCACCTAGATGAGGTTTAGGAGTGCGTCTGCCTGGAATTGAACCCAGACTTCCTACACAGCTGGTGAGGATTCTACTAATGGACCACTGATACACGGGCAAATAGTCTAGAGGTGAAATGTCCTCCTTCTTTGCTGACTGATGTAATTTTGGATCGATGGGAGGAGATAACTTTCACTAATAATGAATACTGAGAATCAAGAAGTTTTTATCAAAAAGTACCTCCTTTAGACTGACTACTAATATTTAACAAAGTATTATATTTTATGTACTGTTTAAAATAAATGTCTGTTACGTATTGATGGGACAATCTAAAACACCTTCAGGTTAGAAGATTAATAGTTATGTAGTGAAGTGATGAGTAACGCTAAAATGAAAATTTCTATTGCAGTGAAGTCGAAAATGAAAAGATAACTAGGAAGAATACGGTAAAGATAATACGACCACTACGTAGCACTCAGTGTTATGCGTCTACTCCCTGGATTGATTCAGAAGTCAAAATATAAATGCATTTCAGCTACAGTGATAGACTGTGAATTATCCAACCAATGACTGAAGTCATCGACAGTGACTAAAGCCTATAGTTGTTCTCCAGTCATCACTTCACGGTATAAGTATTATTATTTATATTCTCATTATTATAATCCCCTTTGATTTCCAGTGGAGTAAAGCGCTCCAGCAATACATCTCCACTTTGTCGTGTTCTCCTCCCCTCTCTTCAGCTGACCCCATGATTGCCCATAAGCTTCCATCTCCTCTTCACACGACCTCCACCATACCACCCTCGGACGTCCAACTCGGGTACAACTTGAGAGATGGTCTAGGGCAACATACCCAAACTGCCTCCCCAGCATGTGTCCAATCCATCTCCACTTTCTTCAGCACATTTGTCGAGCAATAGGTTCTTGATCGGTGTATTCAAGAAATATAATCAGTGATTTCCCTGTGGATTCTACTAAATTTTCACGACAACCATTTTTCAAGTTTGACCAAGGAATGATAACAGTTACAGAACCGTTGAAAACCAACAGGGAGTACTGGACAGCTGTTTCGTCCTGGTTCCGGACTCACAGGCAGGACGCACCCACCACCGGGGTTCGAACCCAGGACCTTCCGGTTATAGGGTAAGCACGTAGACCATTCAACCACTGGGACCCGACTCAATGGCCTTTGAATTCTAACTTCTACCGACTCGTGATTTCGGAGCGACCACGAACCAATGTCATCGGCAAGCATTTGTCCTCACTGCCGACAGGACGGACCACACTGGTCACGACTTCTCACTAGAACTCCAGTCATCTTCGTCCTGCAGCCAGTCACCAGCGAGCATCAGATTAATTTTCTAGATAACTAACTTTTTTGAAGATTTTAGTTTGATTAAGAAGAAACATGTAGAACTCTAGGACAAATGCTTGCCGATGACAATGGCTGGCGCTAGTAGCGCTAAAATCACGAAGAAGTTAGAATTCATAGGCCATTGAGTCGGGTCTCAGTGGTTGAATGGTCTACGTGCTTACCTGGTAACGGGAAGGTCCTGGGTTCGAACCCTGGTGGTGGGTGCGTCCTGCCTATGAGTCCGGAACTAGGACGAAACAGCTGTTCAGTACTCCCTGTTGGTTTCCAACGGTTCTCTAACTGTCATCAATCCGCGGTCAAGCTTGAAGAACAAATCAACTGTTGAAAAATATTCATTCATTTTAATAAATACTAAATCATACTAACAATAATAATAATAATATTCTAAAGTTTGGTTTGTAAGGGTTTGTTATGTTTTTACGAGTTGATCACGGATTGATATCAGTTAGAGAACCATTGGAAAGCAAGCAGGGAGTACTGGACAGCTGTTTTATCCTAGTTTGGGGAATCATCGGCAGTGCGCACCCACTGGGATTTGAACCCAGGACCTTCCGGTTACAAGGCAAGCTCATAGACCATTCAGCCACTGGGACCCGATTCAACGGCTCATGAATTCTAACTTCTACCAATTCTTGATTTAGCGCGACCCCAACCATTGTGGTTGGTGGGACATCCATCCACACACGTGACATCTAACTGAACCTCACTGGTCACGCCTTCTCACGAACGGGTAGAAGTTAGAATTCATGAGCCATTGAATCCGGTCCCAGTGGCTGAATGATATACGAGCTTGCCTTGTAACCAGAAGGTTGTGGGTTCGAACCCTGCCGGTGGGTGCGTACTGATGAAGAGTCCCAAACTAGGATAAAACAGCTGTCCAGTACTCCCTGCTTGTTTTCCAATGGTTCCCTAACTGATATCAATCCATGATCAATTCGTAAAAATAATTATTATTATGATAAATTATTTTCATTTTGTTTAATCATTATAGATTCAAGAACAATGCACAAGGATTCAACTCCATTGCCTACATTAGCTAATAATCATATGATAACATATCATCATCACCAACATCATCATCATAATAATAACAGTAATAGTACCAGTCCTCATTTAATTATCAATCGTTTAATGCCTGCTGTTACATCAGTCAAATTAAATCGTGTAATCCGACGTAGTGCAAATCAAGAACACCATAGAACACCTGTTCAATGAATTATGGATGAATGAACAAAGCGCTGATTACCAATTGAATTAAAAATTTGTGTGTAAATAAAACTACTCTAACTAATATCAAATGAATCTCTCGAGGAAATCAAAACAAGTTTGGGTGCTAATACAAGTTGCAAGTACTTGCAAATAATCTAGTTAAAAAAAAATTATCACTGAAACACTAAGTGATAGATACGTATACAACATTGTGTTGTTATTTAATCAAAATTTCAATATTCCCTGTGAATAAATATTCTTGTTGAATTACAAAAACAAAGAAAAAGAAATTTCACTTCATCTGTTATTGTTTTTTCTAAATATCTAAAATCTAAAAATTGGATTTTCTTTTTCAGTTTTCCATTGCTCCATGTTTTTATTGATTTAATTTTAACAGTATTTTCGTTTTGGTTCAGTGAACCAAGAATACTAACCCTACTGACTTACTTACTTACTCTACTTTATGAGTATGCATTAATCCTTTTTGAGTTTTCGGATCCTTGAAGAACGGAGCCATACACAACGAGTCAATGTGATATATATATATATATCCAGCTGTTCAATACAGCTTTGTTCGTATACTTGTATTCAATATTGGTTCAATTGATTCAGTGTATTTCACCATGTGTAAATTATTCTTAGTATAAATAACTGAAAAATGAATATTGCTATGCATAAACATCGTCTCTTATTGCATATTATATATATATATATATATATATATATATATATATATATACATTCAAAATGAAAGAAATCTCACTGTATAAATAAAGATTATTACTTCCTATGTATATGATGGAATTTAAAATTAGTTCTGACTTCAGTTAGAGTACGATAGAAAGCCAGGGAGTACTCGAGAGCTTTTAAAAGTCTTTGTTTGGGACTCTTCAGCAAATCAATACTTGAAAATTATTCTAGTGTTCATTGGTGACTGGCTACACGATAAAGTTGCTTGAAGTTCTGTTGGGAAGTCGTGACCGATAGAGTTCACCAGGTTGGATTTGATGAAAAATACTCGTCAATGGCATTGACTATTAATGGTGAATAAGCAGAATTAAGAATGTAAGGACCGTTGGATGTCATGATAGCTGAATGGTCAACGAGTTCAACTTGTGACCTGAACGTATTGGGTTCGATCATCGGTGGGACTATGGGTACGTTCTGTTGGCAGATCTCAAACAAGGACGAAACAGTTCCGCATTACTCTCTAGTTTTCTCAAGTCAATTTGTAGTCAATCTTAAAATTGAGAAGTTAGAGAAGCATTCAACATTAGAAGCATCCATTTAAATATTGAATACATCTTCTAAAGTTTTACAAATTAAATCTGTTTGAATTTGTGATAATCGAGTTATATATTGATATGGAGCTCCAAATTATTTATGTTGTCACCCCGTATGTATGACTGTCTGACTTCACTATATACTATATGCAATTTTCATATAGTCATCTGTTCCACGCATTTCAGTTTACCTGAATGGTCCACAGTAAATGTATCAAAAACCAATCTAACGACAAAAGCAAAACACTTGAATTCCACATAGTAACTGAAAGCCAGGAAGGCAACAGTACGAGACGGAATTCCCCCTGAAGCAGTGAGAACGAGTTCAGACACCTCAGTCGATATCCTTATGTCACTGTTACAGAAAGTTTGGAAGGAAAGAAAAGTACTTGCTGACTGGAAGAAGGGCGACTTAGGCCACTGCGAGAACTGGTCATAAATCATACTCTTGTCTATGACAAGTAAAATATTAAGTGGCGCCATTCTGTAGTGAATAAAAGATGCATTGGATGAAAAGCTCTGCACGAAAAACAAAATGGATTCAAGAAAATCAAATCAGGTTTGGAGCAAATTGCAACGTTATGCGTCATCATCCAATAAAGCATAGAGTGATAGTCAAATCTCCACCTCAATTTTGAAAAGGTATTCGACAACGTTGACCACTAAATGATTTGGAAATTGCTTGGACACTAAGGAGTGCCCGAAACCTTTATCAACCTCATTTAGCAGCTCTATAATAGTGCCATATACCAAGTAATTCACAACGGAAAACCCAGTGAGATCTTTGAAGTGGATATAAGATTAATACAATGCTGACTACTATCACCAATGATATCCCTGACTGTGGTGGAATGGGTCATGCGGTAGACCATGGGGCAGGAGAAGACAGGAAGACTTTGAACCGACAGAAAGACCCAAGAAGACTTGGAATATGCAGGCGATTTATGTCTGTTGTCACACACACTACAATATCTACTGTTTTTATTACAGCTTGATTCCACGCCGTATTTTTGGTAAAGTATGGAATTTTCAGCATGTGATGTCGGTATCCCAAATTTTGCAGGCCGACCATTGATATCAGGTGTGCGTCGGCAGGGGATCGGACCCAGATCATGTGCATGGTCGGCGACAGTCCTAACCGCTGTGCCATTGACGCACACATGTGAAAACCAACAAACTGGCAAAAGAGGCTGGCAGCAAAGACAATACTTCAAGTGAACATAGAGAAGACAGAGCTGCTGAAGATAACCAACCCAAAACAAAAAAAATTGCCAACCACCATAAAGGGGAGAAATCTGAAAGACACCACCTCTTTCACTTATCTTGGCAGCATTGTTTCAACTACAGGTAGCACGGATAAGAATTCCAAATTCAGAATCAGTAAGGGAAGGCAGACCATCATCATTCTGAAAGCAGTTTGGTAATCTACTGCATTCAGCATACAGAAGAAAATTCGGATTTTCAACAACAATGTTACGTCAATTCTTCTTTGTGCATCAGAAACTTGGCGCGTCACAAAAAGCATTTCTAACAGATTTCAGATCTTTATCAACGGCTGCCTTCGCTACATGCCAAAAACGACTGCAGAGAAGAGGACAAATGGAAATGTGCTGTTGATGTTCTGTCACACTCCCCCTTCAGATACGGACGAGATTATTACTTACTAACTTAACGTTTATAGTGATTATAGAACTTTGACACTTATTATAGTTAATTTTACCTTATAAATCTGGGCTTAAAAAGAGCATAAAGATCAATTGACGAGTACACTTCATTGGTGTATTTGTGTTCTTTGAGCTGGATGATTTAGTTGTGAAACCGAGAGAACATAAATGAGCCAGTACCATCTATCTGAGTTACATATTTTCTCCATCATATCTAAATATACTCCATGTTTAGCCTAGTCACAAAATCTCAGCAAGGCAGGATAATAAAAGACAAGAGGAAATCAAACCAATACACAAAGATGCAATGGACCAATCCACAAAATAAAATCAAAAGTATGTAGAATTAGTATTATATCAATAATCTGTCTAGTCTACGATTCCCAAATCCCCTCCACTGTCAAGCAGCGGTGGAAATGACACCCACAGTGACATTACTAGGCCTACCGACAAAATTCGAAATTTCCGAGTGTTACCATTACTGTCACAAGATGAATTACAAATATTCACGAAGATCTAAGGCAATATGATTGAATAATACACTGAATGATGAAAGACACCCTCGAGACTCTAACGTGGTTATGGTGGGTGCTGATGAAGAGTTCCAAATTAGGACGAAACAACTTACAGTGCTGTCTAAGTTTCCATGATTCTCTAACAGTTCTCAGTTCATGAGGAAGTTTACACTAACACTGTGCACCATTCGTGATACAAAAATCAAGCCCACAGAACAATCAGAGTAGAATAAGTATTTGAAATTACTTATATATGCTCGAAACAACATTTTAGCAGTAGTGAAGGTGGCCTCTCAATGTTCCGAAACCAACGACATAAGTCAATAAGTAATCCACAAAACCTGACAGACAATCCAGTTGCTAGGTATTGGGATAAATGACAGCATAATTCTTAAAAGTTTACTATCATTATAATGTATTTATTGTCTGATAATTACAGGAAACCATATCAGGTATTATTGAATTCCTGTTATGAATTGTAAAGTAAATTAGTTAATCTCTCAGCTAGCAAGTGATGCATAAAATGCAATTCGACAGGTATACGTTGATCAAAATGGCATAGCCTAGCAACAATGATTCACGCACTTAACATAATTTTCTATGAAAATGTCTCATTGGTGTGTAATGAAATCTTTCGGACATAGAGCATCTACAATATCCTCGAAACAATCCATTCTTAACAAAGATAAATGCTAACTTTTGTTACGTTTCCGTGAAAATCTGATTGACTGGTTTCGACATAGAACTTTGCACAGATGTGCAGCAGTTCGAGTCGCCACTCTCCCTCTGTGTAGCACACAAAGCGAGAGAACAGAGATAATAAACAGAAATGTGAGGCAAAAAGAATAGTGATGTCGAAGAATAATAGAATTCTATTGGATATGAGAAATCAAAAGGAGTGAATGCATCTGCGACATCCATTGAGAGCGATTCTGAACCATGACACCACCAGCCATTGGTGTTTACCGTCCCGATGATCCCAACCAGGAGGTCTATACCTCCCCATGCGGCCGGATCAAAGTAACTGTTGTGGATTTCATTGACTGATGGAGCCACCACCACTACTAGCTCTTTTCCAACATGATCTATCCTATGTCAGCTAAAACTGCCCGTAGAGGAAGGCGATCGACGGCTAGGTATGCGTAAAAATGTCCTAACCATCTCAATCGGTGTACCTTCACAACCTCGTCTATTGATTTTCCCTCCCTCCTTATCTAGCACTCGAACGAAGCCTCACCCCAATACTGCTCACCTTACTACACCACTTCACACGGGATATAGAACTCAGACACCTATGATCAAAGACATCTAGCCGGGCTTTTCATGTCTTCTACTTTCCCTGGTCACAGCCATAAAGGAGAACAGAGTGAACTGATCAGTAGTATTCACGCCCTTTGGTCGACAGCCAGATATCACGTCTACTAAGCCAGCGATGGCGTAAGTTGGTATATACCAAACGAGCCTTCTGTTTCCGTGCTCAGTGAAAATCTAAATGACTATTATCAAATTGATTACAGTTTACCCAAGGCATGGTTTATGTGAAT